GCCCGGGGGGTGCCCTAGCCAGTCTCCAGACCTGAACCCAATAGAAAATCTATGGAGGGAGCTGAAACTCCGTGTTGCCCAACGACAGCCCCAAACCCTGAAAGATCTGGAGAAGACCTGTGTGGAGGAGTGGGCCAAAATCCCTGCTGCAGTGTGTGCAAACCTGGTCAAGAACTACAGGAAATGTCTGACCTCTGTAATTGTAAACAAAGGTTTTGGTACCAAATATTAAGTTCTTTTTTCTACTGTATCAAATACTTATTTCATGCAATAAAATGGAAATAAATTATTTAAAAATCTAACAATGTGATTTTCTGGAATTTTTTTGTAGATTCTGTCTCTCACAGTTGAGGTGTACCTACGATGAAAATTACAGATCTGTCCGTTCTTTGTAAGTGGGAAAACTTGAAAAATCAGCAGTGTATCAAATACTTATTTGTCCCACTGTATATAAATCTCAGTAATATCACCAGTACAGATGTTACAGACTATATTAAATCAGCCCAAATGTTGATTCAATAAAAAAAGCTGATGATTTTCACAGCAGACATTTTAAACTGAATTGCCACAGGAGGACAATCACAGGTGTTACTAACAACATTAATAATGGCCCTGTTCCATTTAAATGTGACAGCGAGCCACAAAACCAAAGCAACTAAGTGGAAATAAACCATGTTGTTACTTACACCTGTCCTTCCCCTACTGTGACATGCAGTAATGCTGTTAAATTGTCACAATATGTAAACATCTGAGTTTTTTGGCAGCCCTGGCTTTTACACGATAACCTGTTCTCACCTTCAGCTGCTGCAGTTCACTGTCGATGTCAATGTTCAGGTTAGGATACATGGTCAGGAAATGTTCTGCCAACATACGGAACCTGCAAGGAGTTGAACTGTCTATTTACACATGTTCATTTGGTCACAACATCGAATCAACACCTCTCTGAAAATGTCTGAAAAAAACATTCCACAAACCTTCATGAAGGAGGATTTATCGCATTAGTCTGAGCCAGGGGTAGGGAGTGTCTACCTCCACACATCAATTTCACAACATGATATACAGGACAGACCAGTGGTGGAAGATGCAATACAACAGTGTAAAAATAATCTGTTACAAGTAAAGGTCCTGCATTCAAAATATTACTTAAGTTAAAGTACAAAAAAGTACTAAATGGCACATTTCACATTCCTGTAGATCACATTATTGTTTTATAATTAATTTATAATTAGTGATGCATTATTGTGAACATTTAATGTTGCAGCTGGTAAAGGGGGAACTAATTTTAACTGGCTTAGATGCTTTTAATTTGAATTACTGCTGGGTAGCTTGTGAATTTTCCGCCACAGACCAATGAAATCTTTTAATTTCACTGTATTTTTGTATTAATCGGGTTCTAAAAAGTAACTGCTAACTAAAGTTGTAAAAGTAGTGAAGTAAAAAGTACAACATTTGCCTCCAAAATGTAGTGAAGTCAAAGTATGAAGTAAAACAAAATGAAAATACTCCAAGTACAGATACCGCAAAACTGTACAGCGCTTGAGTAAATGTGCTTAGTTACTTTCCACAACTGAGTCAGACTAGTGTTGCACGATATACCGGTACTAGTATGGTACCGCGGTACTGAGGCATTTAAAATGGTACTATACTGCATTTGGACGGTACCGGTACTTGCAGCGCCGCCGGCTGTGCCCGCCCGCAGCGCCCGCCCGCAACAGAGGAAAACAGAGCAGGAAACAGCTTCCTCGTCCTCTGCTCACTGAGCAGCGTGGACTGGAGCAACAAACGGAGCAGGAGGAAAGCTTGGAGAGAGCAGAGACGTTGGAGAGGGAGAGGAGCACGGAGAGGAGAATGGCTGCTGTAACAGTCACCACCCCGCAACTTGTGGACAAACGAGGGGCGCGAAGTGCTATATGGCAGTACTTCGGCATAAAAACAAATGAGCAAGGAGAGGCATTTAACGTTGATGCGCCATTGTGTAAACGATGTTTTAAAACATGCATGGCTAAGGGCGGAAACACCCAGACCTGCACACTGAGTTCAGGGAACGACAGGTAATTTACTCATGACGTGCCCTTTTCAAATGCAATAGTTCAATAGTTTTAAGTGTGCAACACATGATAAAGAGTTCTTATCAAACATAGAATTTTTTTTCTAAATTTTAATAAAAAAATGTGTTTTTTCAAAACGTTAAATGTGGTTACAGCACAGTCGTTCAGTGTTTTACATACATATTTAGCCATTTAATATGTTATAAAGACTGGTAACATACCATTTAAAAACACTGGTCCTACTTAAGACAGGCTATATGTAATGAAAATATTTTTTTCTAAGTTAGAACTTCTAACTTCATACTTTTTATTTACTCACACTGACTGTTCTAAAAAAAATTTTTTTTTGAGTGCAATAAGAAAAGCCTAGTATTTTGAATTTTATTTTGATGTTATTCTAAGATTTTCTATTAAAATAAAGTCAGTAATGACATTTTTTGCGTTCTCTTTTTATCTGAAAAACTATCCAAAAGTATCGAAAGTATCGAAAGTATCGAAATACATTTTGGTACCGGTACCGGTACCAAAATGTTGGTATCGTGACAACACTAAGTCAGACTAGTTATTGTGGCACTTCAAAGCAGGGAGGTAGCAGTTTTTACATGTACTACAGCAAGGTGGACAAGGTACAGAACCTACAACAGTCAAATTAAAAACTACATCTGCTCATTGAGATACACTATGGATGTAGTGAAAATTGTGCCAACACACTATAACGTCTACAGGGTCACACATACAAATCCAGAAAATTACTTTCTCAAAATCTGATCAAAGCTCTGCACACTAAGAAAGAATCACGGTAACTCTGTGATTCAAAATCTTTAAAAAATGTGAAATTTAAACTTTAGAGAAAATGAAAACTAAAAGAACACACTCACTTGTCTTCGAAAACCTTGAAGTCTGAGATGAGGTCACAGATTCGCAGACCATTGCGAGCAGCTTTGGAGGAGTAGGCAGGGCCAATGCCCTTTTTAGTGGTTCCCAAACTGCAGTACAAATACAACCAAGTTACCAGCTATAACTGATTACATATTTACAATAATTATACCCACTCCTACCTGAGAACAGTGTTGTGGTGCACATGATAATATTCTATTACAGCTAATAAAGACTTATAGAATATTTGAACTAATTAGAGTAGAGATTTACTTTTTCCCTTCTTGTTTCTGCCGCTGCTGCTCCTGGATTCCATCAACAGCTTGATGGAAGTTGAACACTAAAGGCGGAGAGACAGACAGTCAATACGGTGACATCTGTAATTGAAGAAGCTGAATGAGAAAGCCTTACTCACCAATGTGGGCTCGATCAGAGATCCTTAACCTCTCCTCCCATCCTTGTAATCCTGCCCAAAATAAAATAAGTCCCTCAGCACATTTGCACAATCTATCCACCTCATCTCCTCAGTCCTTTAACAGATGTTACTCTATCAGAGCTGCAGGTTTACCCCGCCAATGTTCTCCCACTCGTATCAGGTAATATGTACATTTTAATCTATTTTAAGTTATACAAATGCAAATACAACATCCTTTTTACGGCAAATAGACATTAAAAACATTGCCCAAAAGTGATACATTAAAAAATAAATAGCAACAACTTACAACCATGTAACAATGTCTTCTGTGAAAAATACCAGTTGGTACTCAAAACAGCGCTATGTTTGAAAAACTTCACCTTTGCCTTTCTGCAGGTTCTTTTCAGCCTCCTCAAACAGACCTGGGAGATGGATCACTACTCCATTGCCTGTAAAGTAAAGTGAAACATTCGACAGTCTTCATGGAAAATCGGTGTATACACCAAACACAGATTACTTCTTATGGCTAACAAACTGCTAATGTTTTCCTGAGGTTGTATTTATAGAACTCAAGCTATCTTACTGCCAATCACTTTAAATAATCTCCAAGAAGGCTGAGTTTATTGCAGTGCTTTTGTATAAGACTGCATTAGTTTTAACTAGGTGTACCTGATAAACTAGAGTGTGTATTCTGATCCTACGTATATACTAAATTATATCTAACTATTGCTACAAAAACAGGTCACCTCCTGGATAACATGTCACATAACAACTGTTAAGGCTGTCTGTGGTGGCTTTGATGTGTGCCCTAAATATGGCAATATGTTTTATTAGGATCTTTATCATCGTGCCCAAGTCCAAGTGTAAACAATAAAGTGACTGTCTCTTACCAATGAAGGAGACTGCCTTCTTGTTGAGCACTCCACTGGGCAGTAAGTGGAAGTCATACTCCACTGAGTCCACCACCACTGTGTGGCCTGCATTGTTGCCTCCCTGCAAACAGGGTGAAAACATTCAACGTCCTCCTGACACAATGTTAAAAGGTAAATAAACAGCAGAAAAAAGTCCTCTAAAACAACACGTCAATGTGTTTCGGTGTGCACACGGGGCCGAAGTGTTTCCAGCTGACTTCATGAATAGGAAAGATCTCTGCTAAATGTGACTGGGTTGACTGCAAACAGGAAGATAAACAGCTGGGTGACAACGGGCAGCCAGTATTTCACAAAGCGTTACTTTTACTGGAAACTGTTAGCAGTATGCGAAGGTGATTCGCTGTATTCAGTACGCATTGTGCTATCAGGGAAGCAGCGATAAGAACTAGCATCAATTTAGCACTTCCACATCCGGGAAGTCAGACAAGGTTGTTGACGTCCTAACGAGGTCATGGATATTTAAATGAAGCTAAACAAACTCTGGCGTTTCAATTGGCGTTATAGTCGTAATAATAACAACAACGACGATGTGATATAGTTAGTGTGACTGTGAAATGTGAAGTTATTACGACAGTGTAGTTAGGTACCTGACACCTGCATACAATATCGGCATCCATTGCGAGCAAGTCCACAACTTTTCCTTTGCCCTCGTCGCCCCACTGCGCTCCGAGCACAACGGTCACTTTGTTCTGAGGCTCTTTCGGGATTCGGAGCGACGACGCCTGTGAAACGCTCTCCCGCGGTCGCTTAACGACAGGCTCTCCATTCAAGGAGCTGGTCCCTCGTCCGTTAACTTTAGCCACGTTACTATCTGATGCCATGCTACCAAGCTTCTTCTACAACCCGGAATATCGTTTTACCGCGTTTCTCTGCATCATGGGAAGTGCTCGTCTGTAGTTTCACCGCTAGAGGGCAGTGTTGTTTCATCTGAATCTCAACATAAGCGGAACAGTATGACTATATGTCATGTGACTATATTTGAAAACCGGGGAGATAAACGTTTTATTAAACTCAAATTACATGTTTTATTTAAATGATAGTTAAATACTTTAGCAAGTTGAAGAGACGCCATGATTAAATGAAGAGTATACGAATATGAAGTGATTCGTTCCCCTCCACTTCCGTCTTCGCTTTCTTCCGACTACACAGCTTGTTTGTTCAGAGTTGATTAGTGCGTTTCTGAGTCGTCATTTATATGGCATTAAGAAGAAAGTGGGTACTGTATGAGGATGTTAGGAGTGGCAGAGAAGTATGTCAGAGTAGTTCAGGACATGTATGAGAGGAGTACGACAGTAGTGAGATGTGCTGTAGGTCAGACAGAGGAGTTCAAGGTGGAGGTGGGGCTACATCAAGGATCGGCTTTGAGTCCCTTCTTGTTTGCTATGGTGATGGACAGGTTGACAGATGAGGTCAGACAGGAATCTCCGTGGTCAATGATGTTTGCGGATGACATTGTGATCTGTAGTGAGAGCAGAGAGCAGGTGGAGGAACACCTGGAAAGGTGTACAAGACAGTAGTGAGACCAGCTACAGTCTCACTGCTACAGTCTCTAACCCTGTATGGGTTAGAGACTGTAGCAGTGAGGAAAAGACTAGAGGCAGAGATGGAGGTAGCAGAGATGAGGATGTTGAGGTTCTCTTTAGGAGTGACCAGGATGGACAGGATTAGGAATGAGCACATCAGAGGGACAGCTCAGGTCGGCTGTTTTGGGGACAAGGTCAGAGAGGCCAGATTGAGATGGTTTGGACATGTGCAGAGGAGGGATAGTGGTTATATTGGTAAAAGGATGTTGGAGATGGAGCTGCCAGGCAAGAGGTCAAGAGGAAGGCCAAAGAGGAGATATATGGATGTGCTAAAAGAGGACATGAAGTTTATTGGGATGAGAGTAGAGGATGCCGAGGATAGAGTTAGGTGGAAACATGATTCGCTGTGGCGACCCCTAATGGGAACAGCCGGAAGAGATTTGGACACACAAGTTTAAATGGTACATTAGTTTTAATGAGTAAACATAATAGGAAGTCACTTTCGGCTTTTTCCTGTTTTTTTAGGGGTCGCCACAGCGAATCTGACGACTCGCATGTTGACATTTGGCACGTGTTTTACGCCGGATGCCCTTCCTGACGCCACCCTGATTCAAAACCCAGAGCACAGTGGTGAGAGCGCTATGCCTTAACCACTAGCCTACCAGGGATGGCAAAAATACTAGAATTAAGTTAAATAAAATTTTTTATAAATAGACATAATACGGAAAGATGTGATTATTGTGATAGGTCTGAAACAATAAAACGTATTCAAGAAATACCCAACATACCAACATGAGAGACACATTAATAATATAACTTGAAGAAAATAAAGAAAGGTTTGTCATAAAGGATATATTGCAAAGGAAATCAAGAGAACAGTGTTTTAGAAGTATTTTTCTTTATTGAGTGATACTTTAGTAGGTAGATTATCTGCACTCCTTTCAGAAGATGGTGGTAATGCACCTAACCGAAGAAGAAGAAGAACAACAACATGTTTATGTCCAAAATCTTTCCTTTTCCTGCCTGAATTGTATCGCATTATATGGCATCAGACTCTTAGTTTTGTTTTTGGTCGTTTGTAGGTGCATTTTCATTTGTTGGAATGCAGATTCAAAATTCCCCAGCAACTTCACAAACAGCACATCGTATGAGGGCGTTCACTGATTAATAATGGCAAATTAATTAAAGAATAAAGATAATTTTGATACCTGCACATACTGTTCATACAGAGTCAGGAAAAGGATGTTTGAAATATTTTCATTATCTGTTAATATTTAACTTTTACCTTTTAACCGGCTCAAATCCAAGGCCCTAGCATCCAGATAAAGGCTGCACCTTCCTTGGTTCACCAACTATTGCTCTTTGATTAAATGTAAATTTGAGTGGTAAAGTACATAATTTAAGCACAATGACACCTTGTGGTCATAGGCTGTAAAGAGGCTCCTTGTAAAACGTTTCAAAGAGTATGTCACACTGACCTCACTGGCCTGTGTGTGCATACTGGTATTTGTGTTTATCCTATTGTCTGATTTGCTTAATAAACCACACAAAAGACAACTTGAAAGCCTTGTTACTAATTTCCACAAAGGTGCTCAGGTCTGTTGCTCTTCTAAACACAACACTGACTTAAACCTGTATTTTGTATTTTTATTGACTCCTAGATGGCAGCAAATAAAAGCAGCATTTTCAACTTGTGAATATATTTCCAAACTGCTGCCACAGATTACAGCCTACTGCTTTTTCTGGTGCATATTCCAATAAAAAAAAATGCATTTAATTAAGACATGGCAAACAATCTCACACAGACTGTACCTGCAGCCAAGTAATATTCCAGCACACAGCAGCTGGTTGGTTCTTAGGGACAGCAACTCCTCAATATACCGTTGTCATATTTATATTGTTAGTGTCATTTATGGTTTAATTAGAAGATACATTTAAGTAGATGGCATTTTTGTAGTATGCTCACCTCAGATTTTCACATGCTCTGGATTGAATCAGCTTGCTGTGACAGACTGTCACCTGTATATACTGAAGAAGAGCAGTTACTTGGCACAGTGATGTTGCTTGAGTTAAGTGTAGAAAATACCTCAAATTAATCCAACTCTCTCTTTTCATTCTTTTATTTAAGTATTTGATCAGATTAGCATAATAACTGGCACTCCATTGATAAGAAGCATATATTATAAGGGAATCCCCCTTCAGTGTTAATGGCTAAGTCCTTAAAGCACAGTGCAGAATGTTGATGCGTATGAACACACCAAAAAGCTGCTGAGAGTTTAATCATATTTTGGTTGAATTATTAATCCTTAGTAACAGTTAACAGTCTTATGAACATGTGACCTTATTTCAAAATGATGAATTATTCATCATCCATAATGCAAAAGTGAAAGCTGGATGTCTATTATCAAGCATTGTTGTTTAATGGTGACTTGTCAAACACTCTAGATTTGTTTGCAGGCTGGATTTATTTAAGACTGCACATCTTCCAACATGATATAAAATAAAAACATAAATTATTAAGTTGTCTTCCACGTTGACATTTTAATAAACCTAATTCTAGGGAGTGTGTGTACTAGAGTAGACAGTGTAAACCTGGCGCTATGAGGCTCAAACAACAGTTGAAAATGGTGTTAAAACTTCCTAACCCATTCAGTTTCATTTAAACACAGAGGTCATTTTAAATTTTGTGGTGTATCAGAAGAGGTCAATAAATGTTTGTAACTTCACCATTAAAGATCCTGTAAAAATGAATTTATCATACTTTAATTATGCCTCTGTATTATTGTGTCCAATTATGCACATAGGTTTACCATTACATGTGTTGATTTCTAAGTTCTTTGTGGCAAACTTCTGATTTGTTATTGGGCTCAACATCACATTTTTAAGCAACACATTAATCATGCACATACCAGCAGTGGGCAGATGCCGGACACATTCACGACCAGAACAGTACATTCATACTTTATTCATAAAAGTCTCAGTGAAGTCTTTATTATATCAGCTACATGAAACTGAAACTCTGTTTATGAGTGCAATGTTCAGAGGGACAAACGCAGCAGTGGCCTACAGAACTGACAGGCAGATGTTACAATCACTGGCTGTCAATTCATAGGTCATCACCTTGTGCCCTATTGCTCTTCAGCTACTCTAGCATAAAAATCCCTGCACACTTCATCAGTGAGCTTTGTGGTCCTTCAGCATAAGATGTTGAAAGAAAACAGAAAAGGCATTTGAGTGGCGGCTTCACTTGAGTTTGGCAGCTCTCTGCAGGTAACAGCACTTCCACTGGAACAAGCAGAGATTCCACATGGAGTTGCTGTTACAGCCAGCAAGCACCAGAAGGCTCATCAGTGACAACAAACTGCAGCTTCTTCAGTTCCTCTTCAAGTCAAACCCACGGTGAGACCACACTTCCAGTTTCTTCAAGGATGGCCGGTTAGGTGCTGCTATGCAAATACACCTGAGATGAAACCGAGGAAGAAAAAGCACTGAGGTCCACACAGCATTTAGACTTGGAGGCAGTTGCTTTAGTATGTGAGGAGTTTCTACTTGCAAGTGACTTTCCTCCTCCCAGTTTTATTGCCTGAAGAGATGGCATTATTACTCACGATCTTCCAAAAGCAAGGCGACCGGGCAAAGGCCTGTATAACTTATGGTAGCTGTCAACATGAGGGTGCTTTTCAGTATGTGACTGTATGGGTGTGTCTGACCTGTGTCCTGCAGGCCCTGCATTTCCTGCTTACACTGACATTTGTCCTGATCATTAGTTTAAAAAATAGCTTAATAGGTTTTCAGCATTAGGTCAATTTCAACATTAAGTTATTGTTTAGATTCTGCTCTCTGTTGTCTTGTTCAGCTTGCAGAGTAATAATGCTGTAGACTTTGCCTTGCAGTAAAAACCAGTGAACAATAAAGCAATTAAATCATTAGCAGCTCTGTTATATCATCTATGCTTGTACTTGGTTGGTTTTTATTCTACTGACCAACCAGGCTGGATCCATCATTTTCTCCCTCTTCGAAGACAAAAACATTACCAATTTTTAAAAAATTACTAGAAAAACACTGTATTTGTTTTATTCACTGTTCTGAAAAATCATAATAATAATAATAATAATACTGACGGACTGCCAAGCTTATATTCTTTTATGCACTATAATGGAGCAAAAAACAAATATTCATTTGGGCTTTAGACTAACAAACTTTGAAGGATTTTGTCATATAAAATAATGTCTCCTTAAAAATAGTTTTCAATGTACTAAATTAAATATATAGGGTAAAAATATATTTCTTCATGTTGAACTCTTGCATGTTTCAGGTGTTCGTTTGACAAAAATAATTGGAGGTCTTCCTGTACATCATTTAAATCCTGTAAATGTCATATAAAATACACTTGACAGTTTGGGCCAGGAGGCGTACTCACC